CATAAGGGCCGGAGCCGTAATAAAGTATGTGACATGTGGTCACAGTAACCAGGACCGAAGTAAAACATGTGCTCTTTGTGACCGGAACCGAAGTGAAGTAGCTAACAATTATAATTATAAAGTAAACAGAAGTGATGAGCTATACTGAAGCATAAAGACAGAATAAAATATAACAAAATATAAATAAAGAAGTAAAATTGGCCAGGGCCATAATAAAATACAATGACTGAGGTCAGAATGCCCTTATCCGAAATAAAATGTGTGATATTGGGTTACTGTGGCCGAAGCCGATGTGAAATGTAATGCAGCATCAGTGGTTGAGGCCGAGGTGAAACACTTTGCACAATTGAGAATATGCAAAAGTGAACAGAGGTGTTAAAATGGTTGTAGGTGGGCCCATGTAAAAGTACTGACATAGGTGTGACAGTTGTCCTTTGAATGACGTGCGCAATAAATGCGGCCGTAAAAAGGTAACTGCAACCGTTAAACGGGCAAAAAGTTAAAAAACGAACCGTCTAATTCAAAACGGTATCGTTTAAGGTTGTCCGTTGAATTCTAAACGGTGCAAATAGGAACCGTTAGATTAAATGAATCTCAGCCATTGAGATCTAATTTTGCCCAGAGGTATAAATAAGCATTTTTTCTGCAGAAAAAAGTTTACTTGCATTTCTTTTCCTGCAAAACTTCTGCGAGAAGCTTCATCGTTCATCTTCTGTTCGTGAACTGTGGTAACAACTGGGGATCTCTACATCAAATCTCTCAAAACCGAAATCAGGTACTGTACCCAAACTTCTGATTTTTGAGTTAATCGAAGCGTTTCTCTCCTTTCTTCCTTTCTGTGCTTGATTTAGAGTCCTTCGAAGGAAGTTAGGGTTAGAGGGGAGAAGGATCTTGAATGTGCAACAAAGGGGGTTTTTTGTTTTTGTTGTTGTTGTTTTTTTTTTTAAAGATCCTGACCTATTCCTCCCCCCTACTTCGTGCAGAGTTTGAGAAAATGTCGTCAGAAAGAACAGAAAGTGTAGTAGGGAGTGAGGTGGAACCCTTGGACTACGGGAGGATGGACACAGAGAGTAGTCCATCTCCCACTAGTTCGGAGGAGACAGTAGAGGGGGTGAGAGGGGATGAAGTGATGGAGGTTGGGGGGGATGAGGTGGCGGAGGTTGGGAGGAATGAGGTGGTGGGGGTTGGGGTAGATAGCATACCCATCACCGTAGTAGAAGTAGAAAGTAATGGGGAGAGAGGTTATGATAGAAACGCAGATATAGTGGAGGAAGTGAAGCAGTACCGTTCTGAACTAAGGACCAGGGATGACCTGTGTCACTTAGTAGAAACGTACGAGATCTCTTCTCGGGTGTTAGTTAGGCCAGCTGGGGTAGAGGAGAGGGCATGTTCTGCTCCTCGGGATCACTGGATGCCTGTGTACTCCCACTACTTGATGGCGGGACTCAGGTTTCCACTTCCTGAGTTGCTGATAGGTTTGTTGTTAGATTACAACATAGGGTTGACACAGTTGGTTCCCAACGCAATGAGGGTAATAATAGGTTTTTTAGTTTATTGCCGAGCTCAGGGAATTAGCGTACCAACTGTAAATATGTTTAAATACTTTTTTGTTTTAAAGGGGAGTAGTAAGAGAGATAAGGGGTGGTATTATTTCACCCCGAGGGTAGCTAATAAGGAGGGTAGGATTTTATTTACAGCGGGTCCTTCGTCCATTAAGGGATGGAAGGAAAAATTCTTTTTTATAGATGATACGGAGTGGGGGAAGGGAGATGCCGAGGTGAGGGCGTTAGCTTCCTGGAAGGCCAAAAGGGCCAACCAGAATAGGTTTAGTTTAAACAGGGATGAAGAGGAAGAAGTGGGGAGGTTGGTGAGGAAGAGGGGGGATGTGTTGAACATCATGGACCTCACCAGCGCAACATGCATAAAGGCTGCTGAGCTCTATGGGCCCAGCGCTCTGAGTGAAGGTTTGTTTAACATAGACTATAGCGTTAAATGTAGAACTTAGAATTGTGACTAATATTGTGTTTTTTGCTTTGCAGCTGACATGAACCAATTTCTGGGCACAGCTGGAGGAAAGGCTATCCCCAAGAAGCCAAGGAAGAAGTCAAGGACTTCGACCAAACAAGTGGATGAGGGGATAACTGGGAAGGAGGTGGTGGCTACT